CTATAGACAATTTCCTTAACTCCCAAGTGTCTATTTTTCTGTCACCTCATTTCCTTATAGACCCCCTAGGCGCTAAGATTATTTTCAATGAATACTATTACAATAATGATATTCATTCATAATAAATAATATTTTCCCATACGGTATCCACCCACAATGTAAATTACTGACGGCAAGAAGGCCTCAAGATCAAAAGAAAATCAAAGGCGGTGACACCGCCTGGCCATTTTTCTGAGCGCTACAAGGTACTACAGGCTTACAAGCAGCATTTATGGAAGTATGGAGGCCAGACTACATCATATAGACCAGGTAACTCTTGCTGTAACATAGTTTTCTTGCTATGCTTCATTTCGACACCTTGGGCTTTGATCTGCCTTTGATGTGGAGAGCTTCTTGCCGTCAGTAATTTTACTCGTGGGTGGCTACTGTAAATAATTCATACAAAATAGTCTTAGTAAGAAATATTGACAGGGCACATTTTGATGTTTGGCAGTAAAGTATAAATTCATCATTTTGTTCTCATTCTGTGCACATTTTAGCCAATTTCCCACCAATACTTTTCACTATAAGTAATTCCAAAATCAACAAATATAAATTAATGTAGTTTACAAGTAAAAATAACCCAAAGAGCATCTTGGTAAGATCATTGTCACAACAAATATGTAGTCAAGACAAAAGTTACCATGCAGTAAAAAAATTGTGGCATTAATTTAGTGCATACTGTATTTCCTCATGTGATCTATTTTTTAAAAGGGCTGAAAAAAACAGGAGATATTGCAGGAATTGATACAAGCATTTCCAAACAACTAATAAGAGCTAATTTGAGCACCATAATTACTTGGCCACAAAACGTCACAAGCACAGACTGTTCAATACATGATACCAAAAGTACATATGGTGATACATATGGCATAGTAAATATGACATAATAATGATGATACACACATATAACACATACAATAGGTTATACATTAAATGAATGAATAAGTAGTATATTCATATCATGCTCATGTTCATGTACATGTAATTTATATGCATTTAAATGTATTTTATATGGACAACATTATATATAGACTCATTACAAGTATGTAAATTGTACATAAATTTACTTCAATTACCGTAGGGCGCCTTTTTTTTGAGGGCTGTAAATTTCGCAAATTTGCCTTAAAATCAATTTCGCGGATTTAATTCTCGCAAATTTAATTTTCGCGAATTTATACCGTCTGCCATCTTGTGCCATAATAATTTGATTTTCGCAGAAGTATTTCGTGAATCTTCAAGAAATTGCAAAATTTACAGCCCTCGAAAAAAAGGTGCCCTACGGTATTTGAGGAGCATTGTTTTTACATCATTTACATAATTGTTATGTACAATTCATGGACATATATGTACATGTATATACATATCATGCTCATGTTCATGTACATGTAACCACATTAACTGGAGACCAATAAATACACATGAAGGAATTATGTTGATGTACATTTTCTGTGTGACAAACTGAAAAAAATAATAAGTGTTTAAGTAGCTGTGTAAAATTACTTTAAATGAACTTGGTTTGTCTTTGTTTTTGTTCTTCTTAATATAATATATAATACCAATCACTGATATAACCAAAACTAGAATCACTACAATGATGGCAACTGCTATACCAGCAATAGCACCAGCACCAACTATAAATAATCAATAATTAATATTGAGCACAGTTACATGTATATACGTAGTGATGCTTGATTAGTAGGACTGCTTGCACTAGGAGTAGCACTAATGCCTGAAGTAAAAGAAGAAGTGAAATCAAGTTAAAGGTATATTGATGGAGCAAGTCAGTGTAGCTACATATTTCATAACTAACTTATTATAGCTGATGTGGTAGGACCAGTTCCTAATGAATTAACAGCAGCTACTCCAACAGTATATTCTGATCCTACTGTAAAACCAGATAGAGTCCTCAAATAAGGTCTTGTAAGGGAAAGTGGTACAGTAATATTTTGAGGTACATCAGAAACATTATAATGAACATTATATCGAAGTAGAATAGGTTCTTGTGATAATTGTGGTGGCTATAACATTAATAATAGTAATGAATTAATATAACAATACAATCAATTACTGGATTCCATGATACAGTGATGTTGACAGTATCATTAATATCAGTTGGATAATCAACTTGTGTTAACATCAGATCAGTAACAAATCCAGGAACTAAAAATAATAAGATATAGTATTTATTATCTACTGGAATCAATTACTTACCATTAGGTATAAATGTAACACTATTAAATGGAGTATGAAGAGATCTACCACCAGTATCAACAGCTAATACACCAAAAGTATATAGTGTGTCATTAAGTGAAGGTAGTGGTAATCTCAGAAGCCCCTCATTAGTAGTGGTGGTAAAATTAACACTATCAGTTGAACTAGTCCTCATAACAATGTAGTGAGAGATACAAGGATTGGGACTTAGCAGTAGCCAGTTAACTTGAACATATTCAGAGGGAGGTATTCTATAGTTGAAACTATCAGACATATTAACGATTGGAATATCTAAATTTGGTAATTTTTATTCATGATAGCATGACATATGAGTGTACCTGCTATTACTATAGAACAGTTCATTAAAGTCCCAGTAGGATCTGCACATTGGACAATATAATTACTGATATTTAACATAGGAGTGAATGTTATATTAGAAACAAGAAAAGATCCATCAACAGTCAAGACAGTATCAAACTGACTACCAATAGAACCAGTAGCACCAACATCATCTTCAAAACCAGTATAAGACTCAGTACCAACACTACCACCATTAGTATCTAGCACTCTCCATATAAGAGTATTTGCTCCACTGTTACACTCATAAGTAACTGGTTGAGAGAGACACACTGAACTGGGACATGTAATGAACTGAGGAGTGCCTATAAATCTTAGATAAAGATGTGATTTTTACAAGCAATGACCTACCAGACACTAGCAAAGTTAAATAAGAGAGAAACAAATAAGAGACGAGCTCTGTCTTCATCATGATTGGGCGAAATGGGCGAGGCTAGCTAGTACCGCGCGCGCGTGCTAGCTTAGCAGGTTGCTTGACCTCTGGCTTGACCTTGCCATAGATTTGCAAACTCGTTAATCACGTGACTTTCCCCATACCAATTCCAATTAATAGATCTAATAATGTCACGTGAGCAGGAAGTAAGAAAAATGGGTCAAGCAACCTGAAAATCACGGTAGAGTGAGTCTGGCCCGAGGTCTGGCCAGCGAGACTCAGAGGAGGTATGACACGGTTGACCTTTGATTAATAATTGCAAAGTTCAATTGCATTCCATTGGTATCATGTGATGCAAAATGGCCACTAGTACCTCTTCTAGCAGTAATTTAAAGCATTAGAAAAGACCCAATGAGAATCTTATTGCTTCACTACAAACTATGATGATTGCAGTTATTTTTAAAATCTTAAACTAGTGAAGATCTATTTATCTGATGAAGCAAAGAACAGGATCAAATTTAAGATGCCTTGTCTCTTTCTCCTTCTTATATTCATGTCTATAAACAAAAAAGAAATATTCTCCATGAGCTAGTGATTCTCACAACTGTCAAGGATTGTCATAAATCATTATAGTTTCTGCAGTATAGGCCTGCTTTGTGATACAGTCATCAGAAAGCTGCCATTTTGCATCATGTGATACCAATGGAATGCAATTGAACTTTGCAATTATTAATGAAAGGTCAACAGTGTCATACCTCCTCTGAGCGAGACTAGCCACTAGCCAGAGATGGGAGTGGCAGACTGGCAGTATCGATATCATTTGAGGCTCACTTGACTAGATATGGTGATATTTGCTATTGCATTTTTAGCTTTATTATACTTTGTTGAAGGTAAATTTAAATCCATTTGCGCATCTAGATCTATTCTAATTCTCATCACTTTAGGTACTCCTCAGTTCACTACATGTCCCAGTTCAGTGTGTCTCTCTCAACCAGTTACTTATGAGTGTAACAGTGGAGTAAATACTCTTATATGGAGAGTGCTAGATACTAATGGTGGTAGTGTTGGTACTGAGTCTTATACTGATTTTGAAGATGATGTTGGTGCTACTGTTTCTATTGGTAGTCAGTTTGATACTGTCTTGACTGTTGATGGATCTTCTCTTGTTTCTAATATAACATTCACTCCTATGTTAAATATCAGTAATTATATTGTCCAATGTGCAGATCCTACTGGGACTTTCATGAACTGTTCTATAGTAATAGCAGGTACACTCATATGTCATGCTATCATGAATAAAAATTACCAAATTTAGATATTCCAATCGTTAATATGTCTGATAGTTTCAACTATAGAAAACCTCCCTCTGAATATGTTCAAGTTAACTGGCTACTGCCAAACAATCCTTGTATCTCTCACTACATTGTTATTAGGACTAGTTCAACTGATAGTGTTAATTTTACCACCACTACTAATGAGGGGCTTCTGAGATTACCATTACCTTCACTTAATGACACACTATATACTTTTGGTGTATTAGCTGTTGATACTGGTGGTAGATCTTTTCATACTCCATTTAATAATGTTACATTTATACCTAATGGTAAGTAATTGATTCCAGTAGATAATAAATACTATATCTTATTATTTTTAGTTCCTGGATTTGTTACTGATCTGATGTTAACACAAGTTGATTATCCAACTGATATTAATGATACTGTCAACATCACTGTATCATGGAATCCAGTAATTGATTGTATTGTTATATTAATTCATTACTATTATTAATGTTATAGCCACCACAATTATCACAAGAACCTATTCTACTTCGATATAATGTTCATTATAATGTTTCTGATGTACCTCAAAATATTACTGTACCACATTACCATGGTGCTACTCCAACTACAAGACCTTATTTGAGGACTCTATCTGGTTTTATAGTAGGATCTGTATATACTGTTGGAGTAGCTGCTGTTAATAATATAGGAACTGGTTCTATTACGTCAACTACAATAAGTTAGTTATTATTTTACTGTAAATGTAAGTATATATAATATGTACTTTAGCTATACTTGCTACACCACCACCACCTGAAATACCTTCAACTAGTACATCTTATTATTCCCTTACTTCAGGCATTAGTTCAACTCCAAGTACTACTGAAATTACTCCTAGTGTTTCTGTTACTGAAGGTAATAATAGTCCTATAGTCATTCCTATACATTGCTGTACATTAGGTTGTAATCCTGCCTCCAGTACTACTGTACCTATTGCAGTTAGTGTATCAGTGACATTTATACTGACAGCTATACTGTCTTCAACACTGACACTAATACTGACACTGCTGTGTGTGAGGAGCAGATCAAATAAACCAGTTGAACAGGTTAAACCAGTTGAATGGGTTAAACGAGATGAGGGAGGAACAACAGCATCAGTTGCTGTGTATGATGAGATCACTACTACTAAAGGAGGAGCCACCAGTTCTGTTCCACTAACAAGTAATCCAGCTTATGGACCATTGAGAAATTAATGTACTCATTTCAAGTTGTTTTTGTGTTTAACATAGTGTGATTATAGTCACTTAATAAATTTTTCTAATCTTTTATATTATTAAATTTTGCATTGTTTTTTCTAGTTCTGACCTTTTGACAATAAAAAAAATTTTTTTTCTCAATGTGTACTTGTTGCAATTAGTTGTTCCTCATCTTCATGCTGTGTATCAGTATTACTGTATAAATGAAAGAGAAAGCAAATAAACACAAAACATCTAGCAAATTATACTTATCATTACCCATTCATGTGTGTATA